TTTTTTTTTTTTTTTTTTTAGCTTTTATTTTATTGTAGCGGAGAATCCAACAAGGATGTTTTTTAACAAGTTAGCCGTTTTATTTTGACTATTAAAAAAGACAGTCATCGCTGCTTTTGCTATGAGCCACCGCTGACAGAATAGGTGTGCTTTTTGTTGCTTTTTCTTTTGGCACTTTTTGTCCTCATTTTTCGGTATTAGACGTTATGAAGTGAACATATCAGTGGTTGTCACTGAAACCCTCAGGTTGGCAGAAAAATTCTCTAAGTGGTAGTTAAAGCCTTATTACAGCCTTTAATGCTCCTGCAAAGGCAACTAGTTGAGATGAGTTCAGGGCAGCTGTTTGTAAACTTATCTGGAAGGTGATGAGCACTTGTGTAAGACAAAGGGAGGTCATTGTCTCAAGTGATATCACTTATCAATTGGCCATTAATTACTGCCATTCACTTCCCCAGATAGTGCAATTGTCAGACTATTACAAAAACAAGGAAGCAGGTATGTTTACTATGGTTACCTACCCACAGCTTTTTTGAATTCGTTTCTATTTTTAATTCATGTTTTTTATGAAGAGAACTGTAAACCTCCAACACCACAGCCCTGAAGTCGACCTTATTGGCAAGTTCATGATTGAAATTGTGTTTGTTGTTTTTGATGCAGTCAGAGGATCTGCTCTTTAGACGTATATTGTTTTATTATTTTATATTCCATTATTAAATTGCCCTGAATTGCCCATCAGAAGTATACTGTGACACCATGACTTTGTTTTTAAAGTTGTTTGTCTCCTTTTGTTTTCTGTAGTTTCTGTTCTGGCCGTCCCTCCAGTTTTGAAGGACGGCCTTTTTTCCCATCTTTTAGATTGTTGTAGATGTATTCATTGAAAGCAGAGATGGGGCTCTCATTTATGTGTCAGTCTCAGTATGAAATGTTCCCAAATAGACAGTTGACAATGTAATGTAAACTTTTAACATTCTTTTTATTTTGTATCGGTGAAATAAAATTCATATTTCAATTTAAAACCCATGTTTTGGTTTGTTGTGTAGCCTGATATGCTTTCCACCAGGGGTATCATGTCACAAGCTCTCACAATATTAAAACATGACGATATTTAATGTCAAAGCTGTCTTGTGATATCATTACATAACAGAAGCAGAGCGGCAGGCAGCATGATGTAGTGTTGTAGGCGTGTACAATACAGCCACATTGTGATGAGCCAACATGAGAGGCTTCATTTACGTTTCCAGCCTGGGAGTTCCCATTGTGTTTTGATAAGCCATGCTGCTAACGTAGCTCACTTTACATTAGCAGCAATTCTACCACCAGTGTGTCAGCATTGATAGATAAAAAAACAATGTTTAACATCCAGTACTAACGATAATGCATAGCGTGTCGTTATGGTGGGTTAACTGTGGCCCACATTCGATAGTGAATAGCAGTGAATGCTCATACTAACAAGGTAAACAAAAAGTCTTCTTCCCATGGGTGTCCACGTCCTGATGATGCCACCACCTGGTGTGATGAGGGTGAAAATAGCATAGAAGGTCACAGTTTCATTTAGAAGTTGAAAGTCATGCACAGTTATAAGGTCTTTAGATCCTCATGTGAACTCATACAGGAGGGAAGCCTGTCAGTTGAGTCTGTGGAAAAGCCTTTTACTGTGTTTGCATAATGTTGTCTTTTACTGAATATGATAACTCACACTCAAAGTAAAACTGATATGATATTCATTACAAGATGAGTAATTAAAACATTTCAAAATGCATCTGCATTGGTTTGCATTTTCTGACTTTCAGTCAAACAAATGACTATTTCTCCACTCATATATTTCATCATTGAAGATTTCTCAGAAATAGTGTTGTCTCATCTTGTTCTTGTGAAACCAATATCATGTATTGTCACTCCCCTACTTTCCACATCAAGCAAATCTGCATAGGCTTTTAATTTACTGACTGGACAGACAAAACCTCCCTGGAGCATCTTTAACTAAACTATTTCAAAATACTTCCCCTTTCATTTTTCAATTTCACAGGCGTGGAGCACTTCCTCTGTAGTCCTGTCTCGATGCTGTGCTTTTTCATGTCTTTGATTTCATTATATTGCAATATAGAAAAGTTTTCCATAGATGCACTGACATTACTGGCCAGTGATTCACAGCTTCAAAGACAACTGTTATTTGTCCTCAGTGTTGCAGCCTTCTCCTATTTGAATCAGTATTTGAATCAGATAAGTGCAAGACAGTGCAGGTTTGTGGAGAGGTACTCACATAGAGGTGATTGTTACCATCACAGACACACAGTGCTTCCAAGAGGCACCCTCTGCCTTTTCCTCTACCTTCAGTTTTCCTTATTTTTTTTAAACAGTCCATTTTGTCACGTAAAGGCAGCTGTCTCTTATACCCCCCTAACCAAACAACCAAGCCATACAGAGCTGGGTCCGCAAAAACAAATACATCCTTCCTGCACAAGCGTTGACTCAGTGCACTGTGAGGAGGATGAAGTTTGCTGTGTCTGTCTGTGTATGTCTGGGAAGAGGTAGGGGGTGGTAGGTGGTTGACTTTGGGCAGGGGTGGACTTTACCATTAGGAAGGGTGCCTGGGACCCCCAACTAAAAGGGGCCCGATGGCCATATGCACACAGAATTCTTTCTTATTTAAAGATGCATATTGCAAAATCTTTCCAGATGCACCCAAAGCATCTCATGTATCACTTACAAACCATAAATAGGCCATTCCATCTTTAAGAGTTAATGATGCTTTCTGTGTCTGCTATGGTCCAGTGATAGAATTTCATCATCCTCCCCTGTGCATGGATTGTGCGAACATTGGCATATAAATCAGAAATATATAGCAGCATAACAAAAAGCCCCAGCTGCTCATACCACAATGCCTGGAAAACGTCAGCATACTTGAACAGAAGGTAGACCTTGTCTAAACTGCATGGCTCCCTTTAGTGTAAAACTGTTATACAGTATGTCATACTTCCAGATTATTGTTATTATTGTTATTATTCACCCAACTGGGTAGTTTAATTTATAAAATCTGTTTTGCTTGTAAAACCTTCTGCTGTACTTCTTGAAGTTTAGTGAACTTTACACATAAAGTAACACAAAATGGAAATACTCAAGCAAGTACCTCAAAACTGTACAAGTACGTACATGGGGTAACTGATCTTTGACTCAGTGTTGTAGTCAAGTCACTAAACCTTGAGTCCAAGTGGAGTCTCAAATACCCAGTGTTCAAACCAAGTCTGAGTCACCAATGAATAGTCCAAGTCAAGTCCCCGTTACCCGAGTGTGAGTCATCAATGTCTACATCGAATACCGCTAACAGTGCTAACCACCATGCCTAACGGATGTGCAAATGAGATGATCATGAATAAAGAGAGAATAAAGCATCATTTGCTGGTTTGCAGGTATAAAATCCTGAGAAAAAAAATTCCAGGTTCTTGTCTCCAAGTCTAAATCATCAGTGCTCGAGTCTAAGTCAAGTCATGAGTCCTGAAAAGCAGTACTCAAGTCAGATTTGTGTACTAGTAAGTATGAACAAATTTCTCCAGTTTTGGCTTCCTTGCACTGGTTACCTGTTTATTTTAGGATCCACTACAAAATTTTATTATTTGCTATTAAATCCCTCCATGGCCTCGCACCTCCCTATTTATCTGACTTGCTTCACTGGCATACACCTGCGCGTTCCCTGAGATCTACCAATCAGTTTCTTTTGAGTGTGCCCAGAACAAAGTGCAAGCTTAGAGGCGATCGTGCCTTTGCAGCTGCTGCTCCCAAATTATGGAGTGATTTACCACTGCCCATTAGACAAGCCTCTTCTTTGCCGGTTTTTAAGTCCTTTTTGAAAAATCATTTATTCTCGATGGCGTTTTGATACTATTTATTGGTGTGATCTTATCTGTACTGGTTGATATCTTATTTTTGTGTTGATTTTATCTGTATTGACTAATGTCTGATATTGGTGTTGATTTTATCTGTCCTTGTAAGTTGTGTTTATTTTTAATGTATATTGTTAATCACACTGTACAGGACTTTGGTCCGTCTCGGTTGTTTCAGTGCTTTATAAATAAAGTTGGTATGGTATGGTATGGTACTACAACACTGCTTAGGCTACATTTTGGTTCTGCCAGTGATTTTTGAATGACTGATGTAAGTTTGAACATTTCAGGTCCTCAGGAAGAATGAAACAACAGCTAGGAGATTAACAACTTACAGGTGTTTCACCAGACTTTGAACTGGCCCTCTGTATGCCACAAATAACTGTACTACATCACCAGAGAGTTGGGGTGCCTCATAGAGTAATGTTTAAACAAGTCTAACCCAACTTAAAGCTTGGGAGTCTGTGCAGAAGGTTTGAATAAGTACTGTACATGAATACATGATGTAAACTTCCACTGAGAGAAATAATGTTTTATTTATTTATTTATGTGCCGCCTCAGTGATATAGAAAATTAAGTTTCATTTTTCTTTCACTTATTCTTTTTTTTGGGGAACTATGCAACACTTTGCTTAGCAAGAAAAAGCAGAAATTCATTTTGTGGTGTCATGTGGGGTGGGCCTAATATTTCACATGACATGAAGATAAAAACTAACCAATAGCACGCAATAGCAAAATGCTTTTAAGATCACGTTTGATAAGGGTATAAAGTTAACTAAGGTACCTGTTAGCTTGATGACCTTAAGGTTATGACCAATATGCTACAATTACTTTACTTTTCACCTCCCATTTCTGCCTATATGTGAAAGTGAGTGAGACACATTTTAGGGGTACTTTGTTGAATCAATAGCTTGTACAATTTCATTTAAGTAATGTACTGAACTCTTTTTGCTGTGCTCGAATGCTTAGATGATGCTGAAAGTAAGAATAAGCTAACCAACCCAGAAGTAGCCCATCAAACCGCACAAAAAACATAAAACCAGCTACATGCTCGCATGCTTTCAAAGCTTTAAAAGTGTTGCTTGAATAGGAGCTCTCTCTTTTTTTTGTTCAGAGTAATACCAGATAAAATAATATAAACTTTATCCTGAGAGAAACCTAACAGTAACACTTTATCCTCTTTTCTTTGACTATGTGGACAATTTTAATGAACTGTGTCCTTGAGTATTTGGACTGGATGTCCCTAAAGCATAATATTTCAACAGATTCTACAGAAGGACACTTCAAGATACTTTTTTTGGTTGTAGTGGCACATGGAAGCAAAGAAAGAGTCAGGGTCTAAATAGTAATAAATATAAATTTTATTTAAAATAACCATATAGCAAATATAAATATCCTACATTAATATATACAATGCATAGTGTGTACACCACTGATACTATGTTGGAATTTACAGCAACTGCAAAGAACAGGAAATGAATTGGTAGCCATTATGGGATAAGAAGGATTACCCTCTGGTAGACTGCCTGTTTTGATCATTTACCACCTGTTACCACCAATGTCAAGTGAACCATGATCAACAAATAGGACATCTAATGTGAATCAAAATACAGGACTAATTAAAATGTGGCACTAGACCATGATCAAGAGAAAATCAGCAGCAAATAAAAAGGCTTCCTCCCACCTCAATTTCTCTCTCAGTTTCACCTCATAAAGAATAATAACATGCTAACATTTCTATCCGGTCATTTCAACACTACAACAGCCTACTGTCGTGAACTGATGTATTCCAATCATTTTAATTTCAACACTTCCGCTACATTGTTATTTTTCTTGGTATTTTTAGAGTTCTTGACGCACCACCAGCGGTTTGGCCCAGTATTAGGGCTGTGAAGTTAGCGCAAAATTACCAGTGAAAATACGGGAAAACTACTTTTAAAAAATAAAAGTCTCATAAATATATTACACTACACAACTATACCTTGTAATTAGCCTACTACTCCCACTTTAAAAATAATTCTCTACTATTACTTAGATTGTAAAATACATTCAGAAATACATAACTTACTTTACTATAAACTTATAGCTCATTTGTCCATATGTAGATATGTGATTATTATTTGTAGTCTGCCATTTTGATTTAATTTGATAGGATGCCTGTAATGGAAAGCAAAATTAATCAGAAATGACCACAACTCTATTGACAACTTAATGCAAATATCACTAGTAACTGTGTTAGCTATCTTCATCTTAGAATATCTTATCTTGGCAAGATAAGAATATGATCAAATTAGCAATTGAACGGTATGTTTTTTTGTACTTTTGCTGCTATAGATATAGATAGATGTTGTTATATTGCTCGTTTTAAATTGAATAACATTTCAGCAAACATCATTTAAACATTCCTTCCACCGTTTGTCACACTCATAACACCGTGATTTATTACGGTTTTATTTTGATATCTGAAACCGGATATTTACCTACTAAATCTACTGATCTTCACGTGTCATCTGACTCGTTTCCTGTCCGGAGAGAAAAAGTTTTGAAACCCCACCCTCTCCTGGCTGTAAGCATAGACGTAGAAGTGGTTCGAGGTACTGACGGTGGCTCACAGACCGAGGTAGAGGAGTCTAAGAAGTCCTGATGGAGTTATTGCGCTGTTCGGATACTGACCGTAACAACAAGACCATCGAGCTGGAGCAGGACACGCGCTCTACCCACTGAGGAGCTAACTGGGCTTGTTTTACTGCGTGTTTCTCTTTGGAAAGTAAACAAGTTTGGAGAGCTCTTCCTGTTATAGACTCCGCGGTTCCAAAGTTGTTTTTTTGATTGTGATAGAGCTCAGCTTATTGTATGCTACTGCTAAAACTGTAAGTGTGGATACTTTTGCGCAATGGGATGCGGGATTTCCTGCGGGAGCGCCGCAAAGTTGCGGTCAGACGCGGTTATTGGAGATTTGGTCTTAATGATGCGACCTGGCCAGCCCTGAAAACTTGCCTGCCCCTGAATGCTCCTTTCCTGCTATTCTTCTCCCCTTCTCAGCGCTTCCTGCTTGTGATAGCCACTGTATTTAAGGGCTAAAAATACATGAAAACTCTAAACGGACACCTAAATGTTGGAGGAACTTTGACTTGCCGTTGCAGCACTTGGCGTATTTTACAACAAGCTTTGGGACATTTTATTTTTGTGCTTAATCATTTACTCTTCAAAATCAGAACTCTGCAGGTGGCAGTCTTCTAACTTATTTGGGAAGAGAAGAGGAGATTCAAGAGCCTCTTGAATACAAGCTGGTGAAATGCTATTGTGCTCAAACCATGTGTTGGGAAACTACATACCATATCACTTGAACAGAGAGAAGAAGTTTAGTGGTTACAGTGCTGCCTTTCTGAGCGTGAATCTAACAATAGCAGTCTCTTGATTGACTTTACATTTTCAAATAGAGAACTTTGCATTTCATGCCAAGATGAATGAAAGACACTTACCATTTAGCTGTGTCTGAATCCTCTTCCATAGAACCACTTGTTGGTCAGTCTTTTGAATACATTTCACTGGTCCCTGATGAACCAACAAGAAAGACAAGAAAGGGAGCGAGGCGCAATAAAGTACTCCTTTGTACTTTATTTTCAAACCCTTGGGGTGCAAAATCAAATCCAGTCAAAACATCTTCTTGAGGCTCCATGGAGCCGCTGAAGAACATATTCAGTCGTGGCCCACTGTCGACCTGGAAGAATTTGGATCAATCACAAAAGGGGAACTTCACCAATCCCGTGTGGACGGCCTTATTTGACTATGAGGCATCTTGTAAAGATGAGCTCACCTTGCGTAAAGGTGACCTTGTAGAAGTCCTCTCTCTGGACTCTGAGATATCAGGGGATGAGGGCTGGTGGGCAGGTAAGGTCAACAACAAGGTGGGCATCTTCCCGTCCAACTATGGATCCTTCAAGCCAAGTGGATACGGGAAGCTTCCGGGCAGTGGCGTGGTTGATGAGCTTGGCCCAGCCGTTGTGGGTGAGTTTGAACCTGAGGTGGTGGATTTTCGGGAGTTAAGCTTGGAGGAGGTCATTGGGGTCGGGGGGTTCGGGAAGGTGTATCGTGGTACATGGAGAGGCGAGCTGGTGGCAGTGAAGGCTGCCCGTCAAGATCCAGATGAGGACATCAGCGTGACTGCGCAGAATGTGAGGCAGGAGGCCCGTCTGTTTGCCATGCTCACCCACCCGAACATCATCACCCTGCAAGGTGTATGCCTGCAGGAACCCAACATGTGCCTCATCATGGAGTACGCCTCAGGTGGGCCGCTGAGCCGGGCGCTGGCTGGTCGTCGCATTCCACCACATGTTCTGGTCAACTGGGCTGTGCAGATAGCCAGAGGGATGTTGTACCTGCACAGCGAGGCCATTGTCCCCGTCATCCACCGGGATCTCAAGTCCAACAACAGTAAGTCACTCATTTGTCTTGTCTACTGTCTGCTTCTGTTTCTGTCCTATAATTAGAAAAGTCAGAGTCATTGTCATAGGACAGTTTATCAGTTTTATCTGAAATTATGATTCAGGATCATGACAGAGCATTGAGAAATAAGATTAGCGGTATGACAACACATCTTTTTGGACTGTGACACCCAGGCTGTGAAAGGTAGGCCAAGGCTACAGAGACTGAAAGGCCTGCAAATATGTGTTGTTGATAGCACAAAATACCATGCTTTGCTAGCAAAGGTCAGCAATTCAAGAGCTTTTCATCACAGCATCATGAAAAATCACATTATGGACTTTGATGCCATCTGGGGTCAGCGGGAAACGTCTTGCGTCAGTGTTTCGGGCCCTTGTAGCAGACACGTACGCATTGGACCTTGTCATTAAAGCTGCACCGGAGAGAGATTTATCCCTGATAAAGCTTTCTGCCCCCCTTCTGAAGCAGAACAAGTGCCTTTCTCAGCTCACACAGTGCTCTTAACTACCCTTATCACTAAGCCACCTGAATTTTACTGCAGATTCCCCTCTGTTATTATCATTCTTGTAATGCAGCAACTAATCCCTGTCAGCTCTGTGGATGTATCTGTTGCAGTCCAACTATTTTCCAGCCTCCCTCTGCTCATCCTGTTACTGCAGGTCCAGATAAAATACATCAAGATAGAAAAAGAAAACGGTTGCTTCTTATTTAACTGTGAACTATTGACCAGAAATATTCAGTAATAGGTCCTAACCTTGGTTAGGAGCATGAAACGATTGACTCCCGTGATTCAAGGTTTGTCCCTCTTCAGCACATCCTAAGAATCACTTTCTCCCATTTCAATCTTTTTTTCATATGTGAACAAGCATGAGTCTCATTCACTGACCATCAGCCATTCCTCCTCCCATTCTGTTCAGCATCTGCTCACCCTCTGTTTCACCTCTCGCTTATCTTCACCCTTGTGTCAGGTACTTTCCCATTAAGCCTCCTCTTTTGGGAAAACTTCTCCTGTTGTGCAAAAAGAAAGAGGAGTTATGTTAATGTAGTGTTTGTATATGAGGCAGGCCAAAGAGAATACAATCCATCTCTGTGCAGGAAGATCATATCGCTCTCCCGCCTCCTCCTGCCTCCTGTTTTGTAATTCTTCTCTGAATCTTTGTCACCGGCTTGCCCCTACATGTCTCTATACAGCCATAACCTCGTTGTGTCGCTGAGCAATATCCTGTTGTGGTTGTGGAGGGGAGGGTTTCTTCCAAAAGATGCTCTGCCTGTTTGACAATAATGTGCTGTACTAGTGCTGACAGGTTGGATACACAGGTGCATGAGCATCTCAACATAAGGACATTTAAAAAAATGCAAAGTTTAAAAATCAGACAAAAGGGCAGTTAGATTGACAGTACAACATGTACTAAAGAACCAGTGGTAAACCTAGGATTATGGAATCAGTTCCTCAGAATAATGGTACTAGTTCTTCTTTCTAGAGCTGCCATTTTGCGCTGGCGTTCTACAATCATACAGGCATACAATGGGGAGGCAGAAACAGTTGACCATGAAGCAACGGGGCAGCAGAAAGTTTTGGAAATAACTGAAGTGGAAGCAGCTGAAGCAGGCTCCTTTTATGACCATATAATGGTAGACGTCGACTCTTTTTACATCATATTATATTGATATCAGCCTAACCAAAACATTAGGTGAAGGCACACACCAGCAGTATATACAGTAACTCCATAAAAAAATTACTTTGGACCATTCGGCCAGCTCTTACAGTGATGGATTAAGGTGAATTACCCCTGAAGGGCTTGTAAACAAGAGCCAAGAGTAGCAGTTGGTACTTAATGACCAGTCAGGAGCATTTGCCTACTTGGAAGATGCTGATGAAACAGGGGCATTGGATGAAGTGCATGGTAGGGCATTTGGGTCGAAGTCAGAGGCCATAACTGTAAGTCCACTGAAAGTAAATACAGAACAGAGAGTAGAGGAGCTTCTCTCTCTCACTGTTCTGTTCCTATGGCTGGAGACTAGAGTCTGCGGGCTTTTTCACATCTTACTCAGTCATTTTAAGTTTGCAGCAGGCTAGTTTTTTAGTCTCTTGTGGTTGCCTTAATGAGGTTTAGGGCCTTTACCACACTCAGTAATCTCTGCAGGAAGCACTTTATTGCTTTAAACTGTAATTCAGTGATATATTTTATATTTTTCATTTCAAGAGATTGCTCCTATCTGAGCACTGACTGTCACCGGTTAATCAATTGATTTCATTGTAATGCTCATCCTTCTGGACTGGCCACTAGACTACAGTGCGCTCCAAGACAGCCATGATACAAAACCGGATCAGACTTTGAACCATGACCCACATTAGCCTTCTAGCTGATGTCCTATTCTTATCTAAAAACACAGACAAATCCTGCCTTGGACTTTGACTGGTTTAATGAGCTGCCAAACAAAACATCCATCTGGGAAAAGCTAATGTCAGTTTGTAGGGTAGATAGTTGACATGATTTTCCATGCCAAAAAGTCAAAACAACTTGTGAGTTAAGCTGGACTTCAGTAGGGCTGCCCCCTTGAAAGTTGACTAGTCCAATCATTAGATGAGACCTGTCAGTCAACTGAGACTCTTCTGGTCGAGCCTTTGTTTGCATTTTATTATATTCAATTTTTTTTTCAGCTAGTGTGTATTACAATAGAAGGCAGCCCCGGCCCCTGTCATTTTGTCATTGTCTTCTCTTCATTTTGGTGTGCCAAGCAGCAGTTTACTCGGTGCTTCCCCTTGTGGTCAGAGGGAATACCCTCTTCAGCAGTGACACTGTACGATACATGGATGTACATTAAGGTCGGATCTGTTTAGCAAATTACAGAATGAGGAGAAAAGGAGTGTACTGCCTGTCTTTTTATTCCGACAATGAAAATGATGTGAGTCATATGCTGTGGCCTTCACAGTGACCAGATCTGAACCCAGCTGAGCAACCACCACCATCATCAAAACACCACACAAGGGAATATGTTTTGGCTTATGTAGAATCACAGCCAAGGTACATTGAAGCTGTTAGTGGCAGGCAGTGGCCCAACACCTTACTAAGACACTTTATTTTGGTTTATCCTTTCAGTTTCCACCTGTCTGTATCATCCTGCTGCAGCTACAGTAAAAGTCATGCTATCAGTAACAGCCTCTTTTCATTACACTGCCAGTTATCTGTACAGAGCTTTCATAGACCCCAAAACAGCTCTAGGCATCACGACACACCATAAAACTCCACAGAGGCTTTAGTTAGAACTGGTGGGGAAAGTGCCAAACTAAGCACTTGCTGGGCTGGAACTCTAAAGCCCTTTTTTTTAGGAAGAAGCCACATTTAGATTTGGGATCAACATGTCTTTTTTTTCTTTCTTTCCATGAGTGGACTAACGTCTGATACGTCCCTCTACCAGCATGTTCTCATTCAGGGGCCCCAGTGCCCCACACCGCAGCACATTCAAAACATCCCGCGTGTGTCTGACTGTATAGGCGGCTCGGTGCTTTATGTTTGCACATGTGGTGAACTGCAGGAAGAATTATGAGGGCAATTTAGACTTTTAATCCATTTATTGAAAGGTGTCGGGGATTTTAAACCTGATAAACTCTGAATATACACCTCTATTTTGTTAAGGCAGCTGTATTATCATTTAATGAATAGTTTTATTCATAATTGAACAGGTATTGGAGATTTGATCCAAGGGCTTGTGATGATATCAAATATTAGCCTATGTGCCTATTTCATGCAGTTAATTACATTTTTATTAATTCAGAAATGCAACCAAAAGATTATTAGAGAATTTTATAGAGCTCCTCTGTTAGACTATTTTAATACCAAGGACCTATGATGACCTCCTAATTCAACATAAACTGGGACTTTTGAGATAGAAGGTATTTACATACAAAAAAACAAACAGAAAAAAACCATTGTGGTTGGATTTTATTTATTTTTTAAACTGCACATTCACACTTAGTGTTGTGTTTGTACTTTTTAATCCAAACTAGGCTACTTCCACCCACAACTTGTTTCTGGTGGGAGACTTCAATCTGTGTATTCTTCTTGGTTGGTCAAGGCCAATTTACATACAAAGTGTTTTTAGATGTGTTTTTGATGTCCTTCACTCACCTTTCTCATGCAACAGACAGAACTCCAAACTATCAGATGTGTCAGTGCATTTGTCAAACTCGGAGGCGTGTGAGGTGCACGTCGCCCCTGCACCTCCGCAGTTATGCTTCAGGTCTATATATAGTAGGGGTGGACCGGTTCACAAAACCCGTGGTTAGGTTATTTTTGTGCTGCAAACTTATTACTGGTATCTGTTCTGTCTGCTCTGGCTCCTGGTGTCACTGTGAGTACTGTCAGTATCGGTGCATCAGTCCAGACTCATGCATTGTTACACCCCTATTAAATCTACATCAGTGTGTGTCAGCACACTGGCCTTCCTCAGGAGGCATTAGCCAATATTTATCAAAGGCCTTTTATTATCAATCATCCACTTGAGTGCCTAAATTGGATTTTTTTTTGGTGCCACATCCTACCCATAGATGAGGGCAGATCTTTTCCCTGCTCTGATATATGATGTTTCTCGCTTCTCAAATGTGAGGATGTGCTACTTTGTCAAACATGATAGTAAAGTGAATCTTTACATTTTAGTCAGAAGTCATTGAATAACAGAATATTTAATAAATAATCATTAACTGCACCCCTGGTTTTTATATTGAAATATGTCGATACTCTGAAATTCAGAATGTGCTGAAAACTCTGACACTTTAATTAAATGCCACCAAGTTCCCTCTCTATTATCCTTCACTCTGCCTCAGTGCTTCATCACACTCAGCTCAGCTGAGCTACACATGATACGTGATGGAAGCAATGTTTTTATAGCACAAGTGTTAATACAATTTGAGTGTCTTACCATGATTTCTTTACTCTTCGGCATCACGTAAACATTTGGCCCCAGATGTTGGATTGACGGTGAAGAACCTG